AAGAGGAAAGACTATTTATTTATTTATTTTAAGAGCTTGTTTTACATTCAACGTAATGCGTACATTTAGTTTCATTGCCCATTCGCCATGTCCAACCCTAACCCAGTCTCCTCATCTCCCTACCCTGTAACGCTCCCCCTGTGCCTCTCATATTTATGCACTCCTATTTGTCCTGCATTTCCTGCATTCCTTTGAATGTTGGTCCTCTGGTGTCCCATGGTCTATTGTTCTAAGGGATATATTACCATAGAGTATGTGGGTGCGGCATCCTAGGTTGAGTGGTCTGAGTGTACATCTTGTTAACTAGTGGGCTGAGAGCCTGCCCCTGGGGGTGCGTTTTATTCCAGGTGCAGAATGTATTCCAGGCCCATAGTATTGGGAGTCTCACCAGATTTCATCTGACCAGTAATTTTGGTCATTGGTCGTTCGTTACTGAGTTTTGGGATTATGTTCCACGTTTTCCCTCCCACTCTATCCAGGATCTCCAGATTTCATCCTTTCCTGAGTGGTTGGCGTTGGTAGCTGGGCACCATCTAGTTCTTCTGGTCTCGAGGGCCATCATGTCCTAGGGTTGATTGCTTCTAAATGCCTTTTTTTTTTTTTCTGCGTTCTTCTTCACTTCCGATGCTAGGAGACTGTTAACTGCATCTTAGATGGCTGCTTGAAAGCTTTTAAGATCCTAGTCATTACTCACCAATACAGGATGTGGAGCAATGCTTTTATGTATTTTGTTGTGCCAATTGAGTCTGGTGTTCTCCAGTACTATGGTCCTGAGGCAGAAGATCTATTGGATCTCTCTCCCATAGTATCTGGTTGTCTGTGAGGGATTACTCTGTGTCTGTCTTCTATTCTTTCTGTAGGGATGGCAGGTATTTTGTATGACTGGTGTCTGTGCAAGATTAGCCTCAGCTGAATCTATCCTTGGTCTAGAGTATACTCCTATTCACTGACCCCCATCTGATCATCTCAGGTGTTTATGTGTTTATCTGTATAGCCTAGTGTTTGGTGTTAATAAGGAGCTCTGGTGGTGCAGTGCCTAAGGCGTTTAATTGCTAACCAGAAGGCTGGCGGTTCAAACCCACCAGCCACTTCTCAAAAGGAAGATTAGGCAGTCTACTTCTGTAGCAATACTGCCTCGGAAACCCAAGGAGGGGTCACTATGGGTAAAACCGACTCAACAGCAGTGAGTTTTGAGTTTGAGTTTTGGTGTTAATGGCAATGTGGTATTGTGGACACATTGGTTGGTATTAGCATCTGTCGTTTATCTCTTATGTGCACAATTTGGTGTTCTCCCATTTCCTAATGTTATCATGGTGGTTATATATCCTTCCCGTATATCCCTCCCCCTACCCATGTCAGCCTGTAGGCCCCGACTAGCCCAAAATTAATCCTTCTCCTTCTCTCCTCATCCCAGTTACCTACTAGGTGAGTTCCCTTTCCCAAGCAAACTCTCCTCTAGGGAAGACACTTTTAAGAGGTCTTTTGCAGCACATTTGCCCAATGCAGTACATCATTTGAGTTCTTGCCCACTGCTTCAGTAGGCATTGATGGTGGATCCAAGTAAAATGAAATCCTTGACAACTTCAGTCTTTTCTCCATTTATCATGATGTAGCTTATTGGTCCAGTAGTGAGGATTTTTGTTTTCTTTATGCTGAGGTAATCCATACTGAAGGCTGTAGCCTTTGATCTTCATCAGTAAGTACTTAAGTCTTCTTCACTTTCAGCAAGCAAAATTGTGTCATTTGCATATTGCAGGTTGTTAATGAGTCTTCCTCCAATCCTAATACCACATTCTTCTTCATACAGTCCAGCTTCTCAGATTATTTGCTCAGCATACAGATTGAATAAGTATGGTGAAAGGATACAACCCTGACACACACTTTTCCTGATTTTAAACCATGCAATATCCCCTTATTCTGCTTGAACAACTGCCTCTTGGTGTGTGAATAGCTTCTTCATGAGCACAATTAAGTGTTCCAGAATTCCTGTTCTTTGCAATGTTATCCATAATTTGTTATGATCCACACAGTCAAATGCCTTTGCATAGTCAGTAAAACACAGGCAAACATCTCTCTGGTATTCTTTGCTTTCAATCAAGATCTATCTGACATCAGCAATGATACCCGTTTTTCCACACCCTTTTCTGAATCCAGCTTGAATTTCTGGCCATTCCCTGCCAATGTACTGCTGCAACCATTTTTGAACTATCATGAGCAAAATGTTACTTGTGTGTGATATTAATGACGCTGATAATTTCCACATTTTCTTGGATCACCTTTCTTTGGAACGGGTACAAATATGGATCTTTTCCAGTTGGTTGGT